GGGGAGATCCCCGCGAGGCTGAGCGCACGGTTCCCCCTTCGCGCAGGGCTGCGGGGAGGCGTTGTCTCACCGAAGAGTAGCTGGAGACCCCCTTTCTCCTCCCTCTCCCGTCCTGGAGGAAAATTAGGATTTGGGAGAGCTTACGTAGGAGCACCTGACAAAACTAGGCATTGCCATTGTCATTACGAAAGCCCTTGTGTGAGACGAGCTTTTGTGTGGTGGGCGCAGGATGTGGGAAACCGGGAAACCTTTGTACGCTGCATGTGAGGGGTGTAGGGATGACAGAGCCCCGTGGGGCCGTTAGTTTGAGAGGTCAGGGAGAAGCAGTCTTATCTGCAACAACCGTGGGTCATCGGGGTTGATATGGGGTATTTGTGTTCATTTGGGCTGTCAGAAAAGTGATGTTGGGAATGTAGAGGGAAGATTATCTGGGGAGAAGTTTTAAGTCTTCATTGCACAGGATCCCTGACCCATAAATCAGAGCAGCCTGGAGCGACTGGAGAAAGACAATCATAACGCTGAAGTTTGAGGACGCTTAAGTTTAACCCAAGATAAAGATTTTCCCTGTTCTTGGGGCAAATTCTCCCATAAAGTGCCCATCATTTTTTTTTCCTGTTGTGTGTTGGCAGCATTGTTAAGGGAAGAATATCTTAAAAATAGCATACTTCTGTTGAAGGACTCTCCTGTGCTGGTCCTTCTCCAGAAAAACTCAACGCTGGCCATAGACTTTGTGACTGGACACCAGCTTCTCCAGTGGACTTGCCAGCTCTCCCTGGTCCCTGGTGCAGACAGGGCTGGCTCTGCTCTTCTTGGCCCGCCATGCCATCCCGGGCAAGAGGTGAGGGCAGCGGGGCCCTCGGCGCGCTGCCAGGGAGTCTCTGGTCAGGCAGAGCAGAGCCAAATGCAGAGAAAAGTATTTCTGGCTATCCACAGTCCCTGTGTTAGCCACTGCAAACCCAGATTTAACAGGGATTTAACAGCCTGACTGACACTGCAGTCCTGGCACCTTGAAGCCTGGTCAGACATTTTTAAATCTAGTAAAGCTATTAGTCAAAAAGAGCTTTCAGATCTTGTTGACAGAGAAAATGCTAGGCATAATAAATACTTTTATTAGGTAAAATCCCACAGAGCATCAGAAATTAGAGAAGGTGGTCTTTGTCTTTTTCACAGCTGAGCAAATCACTCTTTCTGAGTCCTGTGTGGCTACATCTTTGACACGGTACTTCATGGTAGCTCAGTGGTTTAACATCCCACAAGGAAATTCCCTTAAAAAAACTCCAGATAATTTAGAGCTGATTCTGCTAGGCTCTCTGTGAGACATATGGGATGCCAAATGTCAATCTGTGTTGCATGGAAAACTGAGGTTCTTCAGTTCATTGCATTTCATTGCTGTATATACCCGAGGTGGTTTCTGCCATCCTGCTCCTGTGACCTGCTTGTTCTCAAACTTGCAAGGTGGGGCATGTGGTTGCCTACAAATCTAGGTAGAATATGGCTGTGTGCATGTGTGTTACCTTTCAGAGTGTTCAGTTTTCAACAGACTCACTAAAAAAAACACAATCCCCTCCAAATTGCTATTGCCAGGATTTAATATGAGTTAATTTAATTACCAAGACCTGCAGCAGTCTTATCTTTTAGAGCGCTCTTCTCTGCTCTCAGAAGCCAAACCAGTTATTCCTGCTCAGAGTTAAGCCTCTCAAGAGTGGACACAGCGGCACACTTTCACATATACAGTTTCCAGGTCAGGGCTGGTCTGCATGCAGTGAATCATCATGAGGGCAAAGTGAGTTTGCGCCTGCCTGAAACTCACTATATGAACCAACCCTAAAAACCTCACAGCGCTTCTTGCAAAGACAGTAATATTATCTTGTTTTACTGCCCAAATAGCAGTTCAGTCAGTTAAGCTCTCAATTCTTTAATTTACTGGTTTGCTCTAAATGTTATGCATTTCCTCTTTTCAACCTACGATAGTGTTTTAATAAGCTATTATATACTATTCCCAGAGGTGACCGCATTTCAGGAAGGGTAAAATGCGCACCTAAAAATTGTTACTCGTGTCAGTGAAGTCTTCAATTTCAACAGAGCTGGTTCATTTCAGGAAAAAGTGTTGGCCTTGATTAAGATGTGATCCCCAGAAAAGTTCCCGATGGCAAGCTAAGTTATTAAAATACATGGTTCTGCACAGCAGATTCCTGCAGGTCTGATTAAAGATTTCAGTACAAGGTTGCCTCTTAACAACAAGTGATTTACTGGGGGTGGTATGCAGTATATAGAATTTGAGTGATCCTGAACTACAGCAGCAGGTTTATCCTATATGGGAATGTTTCTGTTCTGAGCACACTTAAACAAGGACGAATATAGTTCTTTCTTAAGACAGGGCAGGAAACAAGGGAACCCATGCCTTTTGTTACTTTTTAGACTTAGTGGTAGTGCTTAGTGCTTGACAAACAAAAAATGCGGTTGGAAATGATCAGGGAATTTAAATTCTGCCTTGCTCCTACAGTGTTACCTAGCTCTAAAATAAGATAAGAAGTTTTATTGCTGTTTTTTCTCCTAAAATTGTTCCTATTTTTTTGGTCAGAAAAGAAGCACAGGGCTTTAGGCACCAATAGATGCCACCTGAAGGAGTAAGTGTCACTTCAGGGTAAGAAGGATGGAGTTTACTGCAGAGGAAGGCAAGTTTTTTTCCTCAGGGAAGTGGGTGTCACTGTTTAAGCAGAACTGCTGAGGTGTCTATGAGGAACACTCATCTTTCTACTGATGACTGAGAGCAAACATGCGTTATGTATTAGTAAGAGAGTGCCACAGCATGTCTCTTTGGTCCAACATGTGCTAGACCATCACTGTAAGTACAGGAGCAAAGACATCATGCAGTGACACTAGAAAGATTGCAAATCCATATGTACAAATTCTGCAGGACAAAAGAATAGTCGCTATGGACACAAAACAAAAAAAAAGATTCTGATGACTAAATGAGACTAAAAGTATGTCAATTCTGCCACAAACCCATCAAATCATGCCCTGCAGGTACCAGCACAATGTCAGCATTGAAATCCATAGCTGAATTTGCTGTGGTGCTGAGCAATGTCTTAGATGCTTTCCACAGAGCTTGGAAAGGAAACAGATGGTCCTCGAACACCTTTGCTTTATCAGTTAGTGCCCTTGTGCCAAACAATGCCCTTGTGACCAAGAAGGCCAGTGGGTTCCTGGCCTGCATTAGGAGGAGTGTTGCCAGTAGGTCGAGGGAGCAGAGGTCCTCTCCTCTGCTCAGCCCTGGTGATGCCACATCTGGAGTTCTGTGTCCAGTGCTGGGCTCCCCAACACAAGAGGGACGTGGAGCGACTGGAGAGAGTCCAAGAAGATTAGGAAACTGGAACATCTCTTCTATGAGGGGAGGCTGAGAGAGGTGGGGCTGTTCAGCTTAGGTAAGAGAAGACTGGAGGAGACCTTATTAGTGTGTACAAATATTTTAATGGAGGATATCAGACAGGATGGGACCAGGCTGTTTTCAGGGGTGCCTGGCGATAGGACAAGAGGCAGCAACCACAAACTGAAATACAGGGAATTACACCTGAATTTGAGGAAAAAAAGTCTTGACTGTGAGGATGAGCCCTGGAACAGGTTTCCCAGAGAGGCCATGGAGTCTCCATCTTTGGAGATACTCAAAATCTGTCTGGACATGATCCTGTGCAACGTGCTCTAGGTGTCCATGCTTGAGCAGGAGAATTGGACTAGATGATCTACAGAGGTCCCTTCCAACCTTGTTCGTTCTCTGATTCTGTTTCACCATGTCCCTCTGCTGCAGTTATCAAATCCTATCCAAGTGTTGAAAGTGTGCAGTGATGGACGGTGCCATGGCCTGCGCCGGGGCTGGTCATTAACCTTTCTGTCTCTGAAGGATTTATGATGTCTCAGCTGAGTTCCTCCCTGTCCTTTTATTTTCTTTTCGGTGTGTCAGGACCCCAGATCAATAGGTAACATACTGATGTCTTGGTGAATACCTGGTTTTGGTCCTATGCTCTCATCACTGGCATAGTGCTAGCAGGAATTGCAGCCTTTCAG